CGACGGGGGTTCGGTTGTCATGTTATTGGTGGTAGTGGTGAGGTGAGGTGTTAGTCACAAATGTTGGTGATGGTCACAGATTATTTTATCGTTTGTGACGATTAAATTTATTAATTTGTGACTGATAAACAACACGTGACCAGTAAAAAATATAAATTATGACCAGGAAATAATGTGTGAATTAAAAAATTGTTAATTTGTCCGATAATTTGACAATTTATGACTGTCTACTAAGTTATGACTTATAATATTTGTGATTTGTGACCAATGAATAAATTGTGACGTATAAATTCTTTTATTTGTGATCGATGAATAAATTATGACTTATAAAATTTTTGAATTGTAAACGTAAAATAATTTGTGGCCTATAAAATTTCTGATTTGTGACCGTAAAATAATTTGTAACTTATAAATTTTTTGATTTGTAACATTTTAATTTTTTATTTGTGACTGATAAACAAATTATGACCTATAAAATTTTCGAATTGTGACCATAAAATAAGTTGTGACATGTAAAATTTGTGATTTGTGATCAATTAATAATATGTGACCAATTATATAGAATCTATGATCAAATTATATGGAATTGTTACCTTAATATATTTAATTAATTAATTTAAAAATAAAATTTAAAAAAAAAATTGATATTTGAAATTTTAAACTTAAATCTGAAATTTGAAATTTTAAACCTTATCTTTTAAATTTGAAATAGGTGAAACTTCTTTTAGTTATGAAATTTTCCCTTTTTTTAACATGAAAATTCTTTTTTTTAGTAATTTTTTTTTTCAATGTATCTGCCTAGTGTAGCAAAATAAATAAATAAAATTGTCCCCCTAGCTGCGTCCTTCGTCACATGTTTTCACCAAGAATTTTAAAGCAGATTTTATTTCTTTAGCGCACTCAACTTAACTTTTTCAACGTGTTTGTGATGTGACTTATAAGTCAAACATTTCATATCATCCTGAACAAACTCGTATCAGTGCAATATTTAGACTATGACAATCATATGGTGTGTAAGATGTCCTTGAATTTACTTATGGCACTCTTTTATGTAAAATTTATAGTTTCCTTTTATATTGGAACGATTATCGTAATCCTAATCTCTTAAATTATCAATATCGAGTTCAAGTGTTTTTTAAAACATTTAAAATTCACTAAACAGTCCTTACCCTGAAGTATCACTCACTTTAAAAAATCCCAAAGTAAGACATCTACATTCTTCCTATGAGAACCTCTTTTCTCTAACAAAACTATTAAGCATAGTTCTCATACTCGACCCGATTGTTGACCTGGACAAATCATCAGGTCATCGAGGTTAGTGGTTCAACCATTCGGTCAGTACAAAATCGAATTTTAGTTAGAAAAAAATATTTAAGATCCTTCCTTAGAACATATTTGATTCGAACGATTATGTACCGGTTCAAGTAGTTCTTAATTGATTCATTATTCTTAATTGGTTCATTTGCCAATGAACCAATTAATACCAATCAAACTGAATCGGACCGCTGCCCGGTTTGATGGTTCTCGAGGCCGAGCCAACTTGTCCAATCCAATTTTAATAAATATGCTATCAAGCTTTGATCAATAATTTTTCAATTTTCTATATCCCTTATGTTTTAATGCAAATGCACACGTTATAAATTCATCTAAATATTGTTCATTTATATATTCATCCTTCAAATTTTCACACTCGCGATTCACTAAAATTTTATACTCTCTATTTATATTATATTAACTTTGAACCTTCTTATTTCCAATTTCTTCATCAACCAAATCTTTAATTCAACTTTCTTCTCTACCATTAATATTACAACCAAAAAACTTGTCCATTGCTCCTACTTGAAATCCAATAAACTCTTCAATTTTTATTTTTATTTTTCATGACTAGACAAATACTTTATAGCGAACATTAAGGGTCCGTTTGATTGCAAATGTGGAAAATTAGTGAAAAGAAAATGTTTTACTAGAAATTGTAATTATTTGTGTTTGATTTGTATAATTTTCTACCTAAAAAATGTTGAAAGTTTGGTATTCGTTTGACTTCATTTTTTATAGAAATTGTCTATTAAAGCGAAAAAAATTTCTACCATTGGTTCTATAATTTGTTCCAATTGCCAAAAAAAAAAAAAAATTTAATAAAAATTAACTTACTCAATACCATTCGTTTGACTTTGTTTTGCATGAGAATTGCCAATAAAAATGATAATTTTTTTACCATTGTGTCTAGAAT